TTCAATCATGCAGCTGTAGCCCTGCCAATACCTCATTTTCTCATACCAATACTCAGAACTATTATGTATTTATTTCTTTTTATATTCTATTTATTTATTTGTTTGTTTGAGACAGGGTTTTAACTCTGTCACACAGGCTGGAGTGCACTGGCATGATCACAGCTCACTGCAGCCTTGAACTCCTGGGCTCAAGGGATCCTCCCGCCTCAGCCTCCTGAGTCGCTGGGACTATAGGTGTGTGCCATTGCATCCGTTCAATTTTTTATTTTTTTGTAGAGACAAGGTTTTCCAATCTGGCCTCGAGTGATCCTCTTGCCTTGGTCTCCAAAAGTGCTAGGACTATAGGCATGAGCACCCACGCCCAGCCCCATTATATATTCTTTACTCAAATTTCCAACAGAGCTTTGGGAGGAAAGTAATGGAACCATGCTTGTTCAATCTGCCATCTTGAACTGGAAACCATGCTCCAGGTGTTCTGAACATTTCAAAAATATTTAATGATTATGTAACTAATATTTGTAAAGGTGATTTTTTCTTTGTTTTATACCTAATTTTTTTCTCTTTCCAGATAATTATTTAAAGCTCAACACTTTTAATGGCTTTATTTAGAAAACATTTAATACTATGCTATTTGATTTACTTTGGAGAAAGTCTAAGGTAAAAAATTTAGTGATTTTATTTTTCAAATATAGAGCCAATTTTTAACACTGAGTATTAAATAAGTTGTTCCTTCCTCATCTATTTGCGGTACTTCCTTCATCCCATATTATGTTTACATTTATTCAAGGAATTCTTATAGGTTTCCTTCTCTGCAGTATTGATTTTAGTATTCTTGGGCTAGTTCCATAGTTTCCAATTACTGTGCCTTTAATGTGTGTTTTAATATTTACATGGATGTCCTAAATTATTACTATTTCTTTATCAAAAATGTATTCCTTCTTCTTGTATATACTATTCTAAGTGAATGTGAGTATAATCTGATTTAAATTTCAAACAAAACAAACCATCCAGTGGGATCGGAAAGAAATTTATTCAAACTATTTGTGATATGGGGAGGACTGACTTTTTTAGAATATTGTCTTTCATTAAAATAAAATAGTATTTCTATACATTTAGGAATTATTCCTATGTATACATCTTGAGAGAAAGTTCTTAGTATGGCCAACAAATATTCTGCCTTGGTAATTTAAAAGGTACGTTATATACTTTATTGTTATTGTGAATGAGATACTTTTTCATCATATCTTACTTTAAAATAATATTTGTTGTTTTTATTTCATAGAAGTGACATATGCCCACTGTGGATTACTTTGTAAATACCCAGTAGGAAAAAGTTAAAATTCCTTATAATTCATGCTATCTAGAGAAATATGTTGTTATTTTGGTCTACTGCTTCTATGTATGTATACATATATCTCTTTTGCAAAGTGGTACATGCTATATATAATGTTTAGTTTTCCTAATTTTTAGTCAATAGTAAATCTTTTTTTTTTTTTTTTTTTGAGACAGAGTCTCACTCTGTTGCCCTGGCTAGAGTGAGTGCCATGGCGTCATCCGAGCTCACAGCAGCCTCACACTCCTGGGCTCAAGCAATCCTTCTGCTTCAGCCTCCCGAGTAGCTGGGGACTACAGGCATGCGCCACCATGCCCGGCTAATTTTTTTTCTATGTATTTTTAGTTGTCCGATTAATTTCTTTCTATTTTTAGTAGAGACGGGGTCTCGCTCTTGCTCAGGCTGGTTTCGAACTCCTGAGCGCAAACAATCCACCCGCCTTGGCCTCCCAAAGAGCTAGGATTACAGGCGTGAGCCACCGCGCCCGGCCTAATAGTAAATCTTGAATGTCTTCCTATGCCATGTTCTTTTTACAAGATTGTTTTAGTGGCTGCATTGTATCAATGCATGACAATTTAACGAATACCCAGTTACTGGGAATTTAACATATCTTCAAAGTTTGCAATTAGTAACAATCCCTTCCTGCACTGATGAATTCAGGAGAATGCTTATGGAAGTTAAATATCTATTACATGTGTTGCAGGTTGTTTTTCTAGGATATCATTTGCCATTGTATTTATTTGTGGTACATAGATTCATCCACATATTTTATTTTTATTGCCTAGTTTATTAAGTTTTTTTAGGTTGTTTTAAATATAAATAGTATGGGCTATTATAATAACATAATTATATTAAAATATAAGCTAACTATATTTAATTACAATAATCATATAATAAAACTAAAATAACTATAATAAACTATAAGATAAATATTATGGGCTGCTTGCATAAAGACCTTATTTGAAAAAAAATTGATAAACTTTATTTTTTAGAACAGTTTTGAGTTCACAGCAAAATCAAGCAAATGTACAGAGATTTCCCATTTACTCCCTGCCCCCACAAGAACAACCTGCCCCAGAGTGGTACATTTATTACAGTCAGTGAGTCTACACTGACACATCATTATCACTCAAATCCCATAGTTTATAATAGGGTTCACTCATGGTGCTGTACATTTAATGAGTTTGGACAAATGTATAATCACATGCTTCCACCGTTATGGTATCATACAGAGTAGTTTCACTGTCCTAAAACTCCTCTGTGCTTTATCTATTCATCTTTCCTTCACCCCTAACCCCTGGAACCACTAATCTTTTCACTTTCTCCACCCTTTTGCCTTTCCCAGACTTATTCGTTTAGTTGGAATCAGACAGCATGAGACTTTTCAGATTGGCTTCTTTCACTTAGTAATAGGCATTTAAGGTTTCTTCATGTCTTTTCATGGCTTGATAGCTCATTACTTCTTTTAGAGCTGAATAATATTCCATTGATTAAGGCTTTTGGGGTGTGAGAGAGAGAGAGAGAGTGTGTGTAGTAACTAAGAATCATTTGACCTTTCTTATTAGTTTGCCTTGATTTTAGCTGATCCATCAGAGTTTTCCATGAAGAAAATCTTTTTATCCTCAGTAAATCTTAATTTTGTTTACTGCTTTCTAGTCTTTACACCTCATTTATTTCCTATTACATTTAGATAGAACATTGAGAATTATGTTAAATAATAAAATCAATAGGGGAATTCTAAAGTTGTCACCAGCCTTCTGGGTTTGAAAACCACTCGTGAGAGTGGATTCATGATTTTGTTGATTGCTTGGATGGTATTGCACTTAGAGTCTCAGCCAACCCTATCATAGTGTCACTATGTGAGAAACTGTGAACAAAGGGCACCCACTATCTTCTCAACTAGACCCAAAACCCGATGGAGAGAGCAGTTGTCTGCCATTGACCCATTATTAAGCGTATCTTGTTAAATAGGCAAGCAGGCAGCGGTGGGTCATCGGTGCTGAAATGTCTGTTTTTGCATAAATCTTACCCCTGGAATTCATACCACGTGCATGTAAAATCCCTAATTTTTTCTTCTTCAGCATTGTAAGCAGGCAACATTGGAGAGCCACGTAGGTGAGGTAGTACAGTAGAATTAAAGCTTGGAAGGTTTTTTCCAAGATTGGCTATTTAATTTTCTTCCTTCATTGACCTTGTAATTATAGAGTAAACTTTGCTGTAGAAACAGTCTTCTCCAAATTTATTTATTTTTAAAGCCCTTGTAATAATTCAGGCAGCATTTAACTATATGTTTATAATGTGCATTACTTTTATTTATTCTTAATGCTATTATTTCAATTTATCTAGAAATACTTCGAAACCTTCCTTGGAGTGGGAGAGGAAAAATGCATCTGGTATATGTATTTTATGGTTCAGTCTTGATGTTGGTAGAAATCATTATTTGTCTGCTATTGATCTTTTTAGGTGGCTTTAAATATTTGAATATTGAGAAGGTATAGTTGTTACAGCTGCATTTAGATGATAGAATGTGTACAAATAGGATGGTTAGTATATGATAATGAGTAAAAGTAGGTGGTAAGTTTGTGATGTATATAGAAATCTACTTGGAGTTGTTCCTTGAAATAAAAGTGTCCAGTTTGCATGGGCAGTTGTTTAGATCTTTTCTCTATTCGGGGTCTAGTTTTAAGTTTAAGTATTAGTTGTACTGAGTGGGCTAGAGGGTGTTTACACACTATATGGTGCCCACGTAATGACTTTAACTATTAAACATATTCTGTTAACATGAAGGGGTAGGAGAAGTATCAGCCTTCAAGTGTACAGCCATCATCTGATTTACCATTTGCACCTGAGTTACAGGTACAACATAGCAAGTATGACCTGGGACACAGTGATTCATCAGTCTCTCTTTCAATAAGCATTTACTGAGATATATTTGACCCTCTTGAACTTTTCTATTAAAAGTTTCTCTTCTAGGTTATGCCCTGGAATGCATCAGCAAATTGGTACAAATTACATAAATATCGACTGCCAGTATACTTACGGTATTTAGGTAAAGGGAAAATACATGTTAAAGATTATTTTTCCTCTGGAAAAAAATCTTTTCTGCAGAACTACTGAAGTACCACTTAAAAAATTATTTGCTAAAACAGTCTTTCTTTGGTGTACCTTAGTGTAATAACTGGAAATGTAACTGCTGAAATAAAATGATTTAAATGAGAGACACACATGCTGATACACCTGGAAATCAAAAATCTTGGATCTTCTTCCTAGGATTAACATTGACATTCAATGAGAAGATAACCAGATGTTTCATAGATATTTCGTAGATATTATTCAAAGAAAAGATATTATTTGTAATTCAACCTTATAGCAGTTTTATTTCCAGTTTTTAAAAAAATCTAGTTTACTGATGCAATTATATGCTCTGAAACAGACCCATTTTTAATATATTTCAGTTTATATCAGGTTTACTTCCAATTCTATACTTAAATGACTGCTCTTTCAAAAGTAAAGGGGTAATTACAACAAATATTAGGATAATTTTAAAAGTGATTTTTTAGACAGCGTATTAGGTCATCATCTATTTTTGGAACAAAACCTTTGTGATTATTTTGAATGGTCAGCATTGTATTCTGTTTTAAGTTGTTTTCTGGTTGTCATTGCAGCTATGAAGTCTTACACTTCATATTTCATGCTCCTGTGGAGTGCTGTTGGGATAGCGAAGGCTGCCAAAATCATCATCGTGCCGCCAATTATGTTTGAAAGCCATATATACATTTTCAAGACGCTAGCCTCAGCCTTGCACGAGAGAGGCCACCATACAGTGTTCCTTCTCTCAGAAGGCAGAGACATCGCCCCATCTAATCATTACAGCCTCCAGCGCTACCCAGGGATCTTTAACAGTACCACCTCGGATGCTTTCCTGCAGTCCAAAATGCGGAATATTTTCTCTGGGAGATTGACAGCAGTTGAACTGTTTGACATACTGGATCACTATACTAAGAACTGTGACATGATGGTTGGCAACCGTGCCCTGATCCAGAGCCTGAAGAAAGAAAAGTTTGACCTGCTGCTGGTGGACCCTAATGATATGTGTGGATTTGTGATAGCTCACGTTTTGGGGGTTAAATATGCTGTATTTTCAACTGGCCTTTGGTATCCTGCTGAAGTGGGAGCCCCTGCTCCTTTAGCGTACGTCCCAGAGTTTAACTCACTCCTCACAGACCGCATGACCTTGCTGCAGAGGATGAAAAATACTGGCGTTTACCTCATTTCCAGATTAGGGGTCAGCTTTCTGGTTCTTCCCAAATACGAAAGGATAATGCAGAAGCACAACCTGCTGCCGGAGAAGTCCATGTATGATTTGGTTCACGGGTCCAGCCTGTGGATGCTGTGTACGGACGTGGCACTGGAGTTTCCGAGACCCACTCTGCCTAACGTTGTGTATGTAGGAGGAATCCTAACCAAGCCGGCCAGCCCGCTACCAGAAGTAAGGTTTGCTGAACTCCTTAGTCATTTTTTTTTAAACTATGAAGGTCAATTTCGATTTTTGGAAGAGATAAGATTGGTTATTGTTTGATAACTAATAGTACTCTAAAAAGTAATGAGGACACAGAGCCTACCAAGGACCCTTTATCTGTGGCCTTGTCACTTCCCTGGAACACATTCTTGCTTTGAATGAGCATTTCTGTAATGCCACAAGGCCACTTTCCCATATGGTCTGTAGACTGGGTGGGAAGTAGATTTTTGATTAAGCAATAATAACTGTAGTATGGGAGGAGAATATACTTACATGGCTAGTTTTAATGAGTGTGATTTTGCTTTTCATTAAACAGAGTGCCCTATATTCTATCCCAAATAGCAAAATCACAGGTATCTATGTTTAGGTTAAGTTCAGTGAACTCAAATAACTATAAACCAAGTAAACAGAGGTTCTTCTCTGGGAAGTCATGACTACTAGAAAGTTAATGTCCAACAATGAAAACGAGATAGTAACTTCCATCAGAGTAGGGTGTCAGCTAATTTAGTAACCAATGTAATTTAGTAAGCAAATGCAATTGCTTTAGAGAAAGCGTGTCCTGTTGCAGTTTCATTTCAAAGATGGAATTAATGGCCCTTTAAGAAAATGTCTGTTCTCTAAGTCAAACCTAAATTTTTTTTTGGTGGTTGAGCCATCAGTGAATCCCTTAGTGGTCTGTTCTCTATCCTAGGTTTTTGTTTTTGTTTTTTGAATGAGGTATCTCAAACTAGCAGAAGTCATACACGTTATCTGTTACTGTAGTGGGTTTCCTACCCTAAAGTTAATTTTTGCAGTGTAACCTCAACATCCGATGCCATTTACCAAGAAGCTCAGGGCTCGTTGTAGGATTTTCTCTATTCAAACCGTTTTTGCTGTTACCTCTGAAATTAGCTACTCACAACTACTCTGCTACATTGTTCATTTCTAGCTCTGTCACTACGTACTAAAAATTCTATCAAGGCCTTGATGAAGGGTAAATCCAGATTTTCTCACAAAGGTATCAGTTGAGAACAGTCACGGGGCTGACTTTTCTCATGAGACAGTAGGTGATTGGAAATATACGATCGTATACTTTTCTAATACAGACATTAGATTTATATTTAGGAAATAATACCCTGATGTATATGCCATGTGGCATGGAAACATAGAAATGGCCAGACTGATGGCTGGTACACCTGTAGCATTCAGATAGATGCAGCCACTAGAGGCTGTAAGGGCACAGTTGTTCTGTGACATCAACAGAAACGGACAGGGATTAATCTCAGTTTATGTCAACCATTCATGAATTCATCCAGGCTCATTGTGAGTTTTTAAATATTCTCTTCCAGAGTCACCTTGTAATATATTACTCTCCTTCCTAAAGGTAGTTAAAATCAGATTTTAGAAGCAGCTTCTAAAAGATTTCGTAAGCCAGTCTGTCTTTACCTTACTTGAGTCATTTATAATATTATATAAATCAACGTTGTTCTCTCCAAGGCTTCATCTTTTCCCAACTGTAGCACTGCCCTTCTGCCAGCTTCGCTTATCTCTTCTTCAGTCACCTGACTGAGGCAGGAGTCAATGATGAAAAGGAATCTTCTGGGTGCCTTTTCTTTCCCTCCCATTCCTGTACATTTTTCTTGAGTTACAGCAACTTGAATGACTCAGTCTAAGTATGGAGTAATATTTCATACCTTTTTTTCCTATCCTGCCCCCTTCAATAACATGCATAGCACGTAAGAATTTTTTTTCCTACAATCGAAACTTTCTCCCACGGATCCCTCTGCCCACTGATGTCCTAACTAGTGTCACTATTTTGTTTTACTTTAAAAACATCTTTTTAATGGTTTTTGGAGCTCCACATAAGGTGTTACTCAGAATGTTTAGATTTGCCATAATTTCTCCTTTGACACTGGCTTAACCTGCTTTCTGGGCTTTCCTATTTGTTTTTTCTCCTTGGGCTTTCTGTAGTGGTTATTTTGCAAGTATGCTTTTTATTTGCAACAGTTGCTTTGCGCCGACTGGGTCACACACACATATGGCATGTGCACGTGTTATATATAATATCTGGACATGGGTAAGTATATTATTATCATTGAAAGTCTGTTAAATTATAAGCGTGAAGGCTATTTTCATTTCAGTGTGCCATTTATAGTTCTTGAATAGGGAGTATTTTGAAGAATTATAATGCCTTATTCTTTTGGATATTCCATACTCTGGTGAAGTTTTATATGCATAGGAACACGTGTTCCTATTGAGATTTTACTAGTAGATTTATCTGAGATAATAAACTATACTTTATGGTTCAAAAATTTAATGAGTTTCTCAAATGCCTGTATCATATACAGGGCATGGTTGTGATACTAAAACAAGGAAGCCCAGCGAGTAGCTGCTTAGAATACATGATTCACTAATAACAGCTTAATTGTTAATTGTCTTGGTATCTTACATTAGAATGGATTAAGTTTTCTAGAAGTCTGGAAGTGATTTGAGAGTGGGATTTGAATTTCACCACTTGGGATGAAAGAAATAGAGAAAGACATTTTTTAGAAGCTTTCATAATGTTTGAGTCTACAGAAGCTTTATAGAGAACATCTAGTCCAGCTCAATTCATTTTATTTATTCTCTCCTTTAAAATACATACCATAGACATAGCGAATAGTGCATTCATTTCTCACATGGTAGATACAAAGACCTCATCCAAGGCCACACAGGTAGTGTGTGGCAAAGCCAGATGTAATATAGATTGTTTTGCTATTGATTAGGTATTTTGTCAAGATGCCTTGTATCTCTTGTCACTCATTTTAGTCAATTAGACACCTACAATTGTGCACAAAACCATGCAGACACTAAAAGCTCCAACTTCAGCATTATACATTTTATTTATGTAATAAGAACACTTGTACCCTCCAATATTTTGAAATAAAAATTTTTTTAAAAGAAATAAAATATGTGCAAATAAATCAAAAAGAAAAAAAAACATGCAGAGACAGTGGTCTCTCAATCTTATTTATTTGACATCTCAAAGATTGTGGGGGCTTAATATGAGAGTCACATGAAATCAGATGGACTCTGACTTATTATGCTTTAGAGATTCAGTAAGAGAAATCAACCTAAATTCAAATGCTTTTGATTACAATGTAGAGTGAAGACACAGTGTGTGCCTTGATAATAGAATCATTTTAAGATTCGTGTTGGAAATGTGCCTGGAGGAACCACTCTTCTCATGCTATCTGGCTGCCTATAAAGGCAGGTCTTAAAAGGTGTGATTAAGGGGAAGAGGTCTGAGTTGGATCATATCCATATAGTGGCTTGTCTACTCTGTCATTGCAGGCCCAGAGAGAACATTGATACAAATTTTAAAAAAAATTGTTACTTTGGTCAAAAAGGAGGTCTGTAAACAGGTCCTTATTTGAATAGGTCCTTTAAATATTAAAAGTGAGTGAAATGACATCTAAAAGGAGTGATTGTAGTTTTTAGTAATTTTATTAGATGGTAGTAAAACTAATACCACCACAGACTAGTACATGTTTACTTAGGAAGTTTGTCAGTTATGAAAGTTAAAATGTTTCAGGTGGTAATTTTTAGGTGATTTTCCATTGGCCGAAATGGTCGGCAGTTCATCTCTGACACTTTTCAGCTTCTATAGTCCTAAAATCTGCTAGCACCTAACAGATTGTACCTTAACTATTGTTTTTTTTTACATGGCTCTCTTCCTGACTAGAATGTGGGTGCCATAAAGGGTGGATACCCTACTTATTCATTTTGTACCCTGAGTGTCGGGAAAATGGTTGGCACTAGATAAATGTTTAGTATTAAATGAACTGCATCAAATAGAAATAGTTGTCAAAAAATAGGTGATTCAGCTTTAGTGCAACAATATTGTTAATATTATAACCATTATCTGTTTATTCCAAATGTATGTCTGCATAACATCCCAGACATTAAGCAACCAAAAACCTGAGGCTAAGTTATTTTAATGAATTAAAAGTAGCTACTCTAATGTTGTTGATACTGAGAAATGGAGGTGACCATTGATGACCCCATTGTTGAACCACGCCAGTCTCTACTCTGTTGCAAGTATGCGTATACATGGGGATGGTAGTGAAAGTCAGGCCAGCTTCTGCTGCCTTGAAAGGTGTTTGGAGGTAGTGTGGCACTAATTTGGTGTGCCTCAGGTATGCTTTATTGCCACACTAGGAGTATTAAGAGCATCCTCGTTTCACCAGTTGTAGAGACCTATTTTTAATTTAGGGAAACATAGTCATGGGGAGAGATACAGATAAGAGATAAACAGAGATAAGAAAGAGCATGGGAACAAGGACAAGATCATGAGATAGTTACTGTTTGTCATTTTGTCATTTGCCAGGATTCCCTCACACAGGGAGGTCTTGGCAACAGTGAGAGATTGAGCAACAGATTCATTAGGTTCACCACTTGTTAGCAGGTCAGGTTATGGGGAAAAAAATGAAACAAAGAAACAAAACATTGGCTTTCCATATTCAGTATTCATTGATTCACATAGAAGCCATTACTTATTATTGCATAGGATGATGAAAACTGGTTTCAGCATTGATCAATGAAGTATCTAGGCTGGGATATGGAACCAGCATGCTTGGAGCTAAAAGGCTGGATCCAGTGTTGCAGAAGATATGGAAAATTAAGGCCATTTTAATAATGTGTTACATTTCCAAGTTATGTTATCTCATGAAATTTACAGCTGGAGTTGAGGTTATAACCATATACCATATTGATTAAAATGCCAGTTTTTTTCCATGAAACAGAAGCATCAAGGCCAAAGGTTTTCCTGTCTAAGTTCTATGTTGTTCACGACCCATGAAGTGAAAGGGTGCATGTGGATGTTTCATTATTTTAGAGCACAAATAAACTCATTATATGATGAAAAAATAAAAAAAAAATAAAATGCCAGTTTTTAAATAAGCTTGACTTACTCAAAACACGTATTCTCTATAAGTTGGTTTCTTATTGTG